CAGTCCGTCGGGAAAGGAATCACGAGAAGTTCACAGTTTCGTATGATCACTGTGGCTGAGTAATTATAAGTATCAAGTGCTTAAATTCCAATCGCAGCCACAATCTTTAAATCATTTAAAATGTTATTTGGTATTATATATATATATATATATATATATATATATATATATATATATATATATATATATATATATATAAATATAAAAAAAATATATAAAAAGTTACATTGTGAAGTTTTTTCTATCTAATTTTTAAGTAATATTTAAACAAAGTTACAGCCTATAAGCATACAACAGACGGAGACTTCTTATATCCGAGAGGGTTTTGGAACAAAGAAACGTCGGCCCAAAAAAAATCTGAGATATTTTTTTTAATTACTCAGATGTGCAGATTTCCTCATAATGTTTTTCTTCAACTTCTATCACGTGGTGAACTTAGCGAAAAATTATTAGTTATCTCATATTTTTCCAAATATTAAAATTAGCAAAATATTGAAATTGTTTGAGTTGTCACAATCATTTTCCTTTTAATTATAACAAGGTTGATGTAAATATTAATGTGCATTGAGGTATTCCTCGAGGAAGAACCTATGTTCAGCAAAGGACTATTAAATGGCGAAAAAAAGTCCCGCTGGGTTGCTTGCTGGTTGTCCCAGGACAGAGGTTTTTCTGAATCAATGATGGATTAAACATAAGAGTGACTTTTAATAAGTATTATTTCTAATCTATATATATATTGAACAATCAGTTTAAGTTTCTGCTGTAAGGAAGGAATGATTTAAATATCAACATTATACCTTACTTAGATCTCCAAAAATCCCACCGCTGGAGCCCTCTTACTTTGTATATAGGAATTGCCTGAATCTCCACTTTTAGAAGGTGGATTTCGCGAGGAATGACTAAAAATGCCGTTTAGGGGGAGAAATGGAGATATTTTTCCACTTACACAGAGAGTATATAAACCGCTAAGCTTCTTCGTAGGTCAACTGCTCGTAGTTCCCGGGGTAAAGTTGACTATCGCGTTTTCGAAATAATCAATTATCTGATCGCCGGAGCATCTTTTTATACGACTACTAATACCAGACAACTCATACTTTTGACGTAAAATAGCAACATAATATTGCTTGTGTTTGATATGGTGATGAAACCAGATAAGGATAGAAGAACACTTTAGACGGTGCTCCTCATTGCTGGTCTCGGTATTTACCCTGGCGCAAAGAGATAATAGTAAATCCATCTGTCAGAAACCATCACATCTTTCTGACATTTCACATAGTCTCCTCTTATAACAGCCACGGTCAGAGCCGTCTTTAACCTATTGGAGGCCCTGGGCACATTGGTATAAGGGCTTCTATCATCTTGACGGAACAATATTTTGTTATAATAGACAAAAAAAAAGTAGATCAACAAAGTTCTACATTTATTTTTATTTCCTTACAGTTACATTAAATGAATACATAATATAATATAATCCACAAAAGTAACTCTTTTAACATTCATAGGTTAGTGCTTAAAAATCTATATTGATTGAAGTGGTACTCTTCTAGATGTTAAATGGGCACAATCGTTAATCACTTCTTCAAACTCTATGTTTTTGAGCATTTCACATTCTATGTACATCAGCGATAAACTGATTAATCTCTCCTGAAGAATTGTACTTCTTAATTAATTTTTTAACCTTTCTATATGAAGAAGGAGCTTTCGCCGCTACAGTTAGTTACCATCATGTTTTAAAAGATTTTCAATGCGATTTCTACATTTGGAAATGTGTCTTCAATTTTATTTTCTTTGAAAATATGATATATTTCCAATATATAATTAGTAGTTTCATTTTGACTATGAACAATTTTCCAGTAATTAATAGAATCAAGCGTTACTTTGCGGGATTCTATTATACTAAATTTGCTAAGAATTACTTCGCCCGCATCCGCTCAACAGAAAAGTTGATGTGTCTTACCTTGTTTGAAGAGCACGTGCCCAGAGTGCCCAGTGAGAAAGAGAGGTCTGCCCACGGCACAGCAACAGAAATCATATATTGCTCTAATGACCCTCTTCGGTAAACAAATATAATTTCAGTGTCAGTCGCGTGTCCCCACAGCAAAATACCATACGACATTATGTTATGGAAATAGCTGAAGTAAACTAGTCTAGTTGTTCAACAATGGTAAGAGTTCTAATCTTTTTTACAGCATATGCTACAGAACTAAGTCTGCTAGCTAGTTTTTATTTATGGAGGCCCCATTGAATCTTTGCCTCTAGCGTGATTCCAAGAAAAATGGTGGTATCAACAGGACTCAGCTGCTCTCCGTTTAACTTTTGCATTAGTATTAACATGTTTGACATTCGGAGTTAGGAATTTCATACATTTAATTTTAGTGAATTCTACCGTGGCACCAGTACTGCAGAAACAGCTCGAAGGATTAATGATGTGTACGGCGCTGGTGTCGCAAAAGAAAGCACGGTACGTTTTTGGTTTCAACGTTTTTGTTCTGGAAATTTCAATCATCAGAACCAACCCCGTGGACGGCCGGAGACCAATGTGGAAAATGAAGAATTAAAGGCTATTGTGGAAACGGATCCATTACAAAGCACTTCAGAGATAACTGCGGGCTTCGGGGTAAGTGATAAAACTGTATAAATCCACTTGAATCAAATCGGGAAAGTAAAAAATCTTGAACGATGGCTACCTCATGAATTGAGTGAATCTAACTTGCAAACACGCGTCGACTGCTGTGTTACTTTGCTCAACCAACACAAAAATGAAGGGATTTTAAATCGAATCATTAGTTGTGATGAAAAGTGGGTACTGTACATTAATTCGAAGCGCTCCACTGTGCGAAGTCGCAATGGCTGAACCCTAGAGACCCAACCAAATCCTGCCCTAAACGAAAATTGACTCAGAAAAAGTGTTTGGTGGGCTAGCGCCGATGTTGTTCACTACAGCTTTCTTAGATCTGGCCAAACGATTACGGCAGATATCTATTGTCAGCAACTGCAAACCATGAAGGAAGAACTAGCTGCTAAACAACCGAGATTGGTCAATCGCTCTAGGCCGCTGCTGCTTCACGACCACGCAAGACCACACACTGCACAACAAACAACCACTAAGTTAGATGAGCTACAATTGGAATGTCTGCGATATCCACCGTACTCCCCGGACCTTGCTCCAACAGATTACCATTTTTTTCCGAAATTTGGAAAACTTCTTACAAGGAAAAAAATTCAACTCCGATGCGGCAGTGCAAACCGCCTTCAAAGAATTTATTGATCCTCGCCCCCATGGTTTTTTTAGTAAGGGAATCAATGAACTACCTATGAGGTGGCAAAAGTGCATAGATAACAACGATGCATACTTTGATTAATTAAATAAATTTTACAAAGAAAATTGACTTTATATTCCTTCCGTACAAGACGCCAATTTCATATGTAAACACCTACTAAATAAATAAATAAATAAATAAATTCTCTTTATTTCAGGCACATAAAACTCATATAAATTACCAACAAAAAAAGACAATGCAGTACAGAATTAATAAAAATTAAAAATAATTATATTATAATAATATACAAGCAGCTATCTTAAGCTACTAGTCTGTAATATCTTAATAAAATTATTATAAAATTTATTGAAGTACAATGGTCACTATTCTTACAAACTATATCACGGTTACACATAATATTATTATTAAAAAAAATAATTTGTCTTAAAAGATTATTTAAATTAAAATCGCAAAATATAGTATATTTCCGAATTTCCGCCGAGTCTCTATTGCCCCAGACTATCTTTGGCTTGTTACTAGTTAAATTAGTCACATCTATAGGTATAATTGTACTAATAGTCCACTGAACAAGTAACGGAAAGTGATCCGACGAGTAGACGTCATATAATACACACACACACACACTACTCACTGCGCTAGCGGCGGCCGCAGTCACCAACATAGTCAGTAATCTATGGCAGTCACGATGCAGTGGTCGAGCCATCGACATGTCCCGTGCGCATCGCTTACAAATAACGCGTGTCGGGTTCCTTACCTAGAAAATCGATGTCAACACAACTTAATGACTGCTTACGACAGTAATTCAATAGTTCGTTTGCGAAATGTGAATCCGGGTGGGCATTAAAGTCACCAGAACAAAAACTGATTCTATATCCGCACTTTCTATCACCACACTAATATTTCCTAAACAGGTTGTAAACTCCGCTAGGTTGTCGTCACTGTTCGTAGGCATATAAACACTTAGAACGAGCACGTGTCTATTTCCTTGGCTTAGCTTCACAGCACACATCCTGTTATTATAACAAGGTATGATCTTCGCACTCGGAAATATTCGCTTATTCCATAGAAGTGCTACACCACCATAGGGTCTTCCGCGGATTAGTCATTCAGACGTGTCAATTGCCGATACTCCACAGGATTCAAATTCTGAGTCTATAGTATTAAGAAAACCTAGATCGTGTGGGAACAACCAGGTTTCCTGGAGCGCCAGCAAGTAGTATTTTTTACACAACTCTCTTATTTGAACAAGAGATCTTTTAACTGATTTACAGTTGAAGGAAATAAATGGTATATCGGACTTATCCATATTGTTTATTAGTAATTTTGTTCTCATTCCTCGGTTCTCTTTGTACGGGACGATACCCACGCTCTCTAAACTTTCTAAAAACAAATCCCCCCGGCCAAAATTGATCCCCCTCATCATTCAAAAAGAGATCAGCCTTGTGAAGCGGTACTGTGATATTAAAGGCATTAAAACAATTTTCGTACGTAGTAACTACCGTTTAGTAACTACCGTTTCCAGTTGAGTCTTGTACTTCATAAAGAAAGCACTGTCATTCGCCGTACTATCTCTGTGTACTCGTGATATATATAGGGATAAGGTTCTTTCTGCTGCTTTGAAATTAAATTCGCTTATTGGATGTGCTTTTCCTTTTCTATTCTTTAGTCTCTTTTGACGTTTACTCGTCACTGTAGTCCAGTTCCCCTCTTTTATCGGTTTTAGTGACAGAACGTGCGAACTGAGCTTATCTTGGCTAACAGCGATTTCTGTGCACTTTTATTCTTAACTACCCGCCTTCCGGGAATCTTGTCCTCACAAGATATAGGAGACGAATTTGTATCACAGGTTGCAGGGTTAACCCCAATTCTTTTTTCTTGCGGCTCCTTCAATGCAAGGTTAACGTCAGCTAGATCTTTTTTGAGTGAATCCAGAGAGGAACTGTAGGGATTGGAGATTGTACGTAAAGCTGCGATCTCTTTTTTTAATAACGCCATATCCTTAAGGAACGTTGTCACATCGATGCTATCAAAAGTAACTGGCGGTAACTTGTTTAAATCCTTTGCCACAAAAACGGGCAAGCAGTCCGGCTCAAATTCTTTTATTAGCTTTATTATATCCTGCAGACTATTCTTCTCACTCCCTTCCTTACGCTTTTTTTGTGGGGCAAGTAATTTATATATAGTTTGTCTTGCGAACTCGATATCGTCATAGGAGTAGGCACTCAAACATATTTGTATAAGTCCAAGCTCGGCTAATGTGTCAACCTTGTTCGCCACAAAAGCTAGTAATTCATTGATCACCACTTCACAGTCTTTGCACTTAGCTACACTGTTGTCACTTATTACTTTGTCGCGGTCCTATATCTAAGGATCTCGTAGATGTGCGTTATTCGTAGTTAGCAGTGGCTGCAAATAACCGCCGGTTCGACAAACTCCGCCGATCGTTGAGTCCCGTGATTCCGTGAGGCGTCGAGGTCACCGGCCCCTAGGTGATTCTTGGCACTTTATGCGTTACGTGCATTCTGTGCCCAGTCGCGTTATAAAGTGCCACCATCGCACTTTCCCCAACCCTTTTACTAGTAAAAGGGGTAGGCAGTGCCCAATAGTGATTACGCTAACATATTTTAAACCTTACCATCCGCGTCGCGCATCGTTATCGGCACCGAACGGCTGGTATTTTAGATAGGGCCAATTGATTACCTGACTGACTTTTAGGTAGGTTCTCAGCATGTCCGATAAGGACAAGGGGGAGCCCCCACCTAAACCTAGAAGACCACCGGACCGTCCTGGAGTACTAGATCGACCAATCGCGTATCGCGATATCTTCTATCCGGAACGGACTCGAGTAGTGTCCTCCTACTCGCAGATCCCAACACGGAAACCTTCGTCACCAGGCAAGGAGCCCGCACCGAGGACCGCGCTCTCGCCCACCGTACCTGAAGGTACGTCTGGGCGTGAACCGTTCCCCCAACTTCAGCGGGCCAAGAAGTCGCTGAGAAGGCACACTCCACCCGAGACAGCAGCATCCCTACAGGAGAAGAGGCAATGCTTCGGATCCTCCAATTCCTCGGAATATTCATCATCCGAGGAAGAACATGACCAGCAACCGAACAGACCCGTACGGAGATCACCACCCAAATCGTCATCGCCGATCAAACCAACTCCTCCCAGAACTCCGGAACACCATACCAGTATGGATGCTATTGACCTGGAACAGGGAGGAGAAGGGTCATACGGGTGGAGTGCAACCACGTACGCGACCCTAGCGCCAAGCACATCTTCCGGACACTCACCGTCCGCGCCTACAACCAACCCGTCAGGCCGGCCATCGGACGATGGCCAAAGGCCTTCGACCAGCTATGCCCAACTGGTAGCTGCCTCGGCAGTACCAAGGACAAAAACAGCTGAGGCACCTAAACCGCCGGAAGAAACGGCCAAAAGATACCCACCTATAGTGGCCGAGTGCTTACCGGACTGGACGAAGCATTTCGAGGTCCTCAACAAGAAGTTGGGCCACCCACCGAATGCTCGTCCGTTCGGTAAGGGGGTCAGATTCACCCCTCAGAGTCCGGAAGAATTCCGGACGGTGCAGAAATATTTAGTAGAGATGACCGATAAAGTACCAGCTATGTCCTGGTACTGTTACACCCCCGAGGAGGACAAGCCCACGAAAGTAGGCATACGGGGACTACCAGTGGGCACGGATCCATTTGCGATAGAGGGGGCTATCAAGGCTAAGGGGTTCCCGATCAAGTATGTAAAAGGGATCCCCCCCCCCCCGTAGAGTAGGCAGACCTGGGTGCCTCTACTTCGCGTAGCTGGACCTCCTGAGCCTGGAGCGCCTCAACGAACTCTACCAAATCGACGAGCTCCTCTTCATGAGAGGAGTCGTCATAGAGGCCTGGCAAGGAAAAGCGGGCCCATCACAGTGCCACCGCTGGCCAAAAGCCTTTGGCCATGCATCCACCAATTGCTTCAGGCCAGTGAAGTGTGTTCGCTGCGCCGGAGATCACATCGCCAGCAACTGCCCAAGGGGTAGGGATGAGGAACCGCGATGCGCTAATTGCGCTAAAAACCATACCGCCAACGATCGCCGCTGCCCAGTCCTGAGGAGAATTGCAAGGAAGCAGGGGATTGCTCTACCGGGACTACTCCCAGAGGAGCCCAAGAGGGTCCCCCAGAGTCATCCCAGAGCCGTGGTTCAGGAAGACGGGTGGACCACAATTAGAGGAAAGGGAAGGCAACCCGCCCACCCTCCACCCGTCACAGCACTCATAGAAACGGTGGTGCCAATTACCACCACATCGAAGGCAACCATCGGGGCGACTCGCTAGCCCCCCGCTAACGACGCCATAGAGCGACAAACCTCCCAGAGGAGTAAGCGGGTGAGGAAGAAGAAGGAGAAAGTGCAGCCTCCTCCTCAGGTAGCAACCTCTACCCCAACTCCAGCGGTAACGATAGCCCAGGCGCCGGTTACCAAGGAGAAGAAAGCCAGAATGGGTAGAGTGCCAGAAAGGGCTCTATCAGAAAATAGAGCCCGCTCTACATATAGAGCGCGCTCTACCCATACACAAAGAGCAGTACACCAACTCCCGAGACCAGCGCCAACCCCTACACAGGCATCGAGAACACCATCAGCCGGCTTCGTGACTGCTGACGCCATCCAACGTCTGGTTGGCATAGCAATCGAAGTCCGCAGTCAGGTCCTGGCAGACATCAGAGCCGGGACTGATCCCATCACAGCGGTTATGAAGGCGCTGGCAAATCTCCTGGCTCGGCACTATGGAGGAATCTAACCTGCGCCTCCTCTACTAGAATCCAGGTGGAATCCAGCAGAAGCTAAATGAACTCCGCACCGTCGCCCAACAACAAGACGTACAGGTCATCTTGCTGGGAGAGACAAAATTAAAACCGAGTACACGCATAAAGCTGCCTAACTACCACCTTTATAGGAGGGACGAGGTCACTTCTCAAGGGACCGCCTATAGAGAGACGGCGGTTCTAGTGAGAAGGGACATCGTCCATCAAGAACTTGACTTACCGGAATACCAAACTATGCGCTCGATTGGCATAAAAATGGAGGCGGCGGGCGAGGAACTTAGGATCTTCGCAGCATACCGCCCGCCAGGGACTCCATTTTGCTCCTCAGACGTCCGGACAGTAATGGAAGGCGAAACACCGACCATCATCGCCGGGGACCTAAACGCCAAACACCCGGCGTGGGGATCTAGACTGATCAACCCGCCGGGTCATGCACTTTTTTGAAGACGCCGAAAGACACGGCTATGACGTTTTAGGTCCCAAAGAACCCTGGCCTGGCCTGGTCATGTTCCGACGGATCCACGAAGTCGTCCGGATGTATTGGACATCGTGCTCGCTAGGAACATCAACTACCCGATAGTGGTAGAGGTGCTGTACGACCTGGACTCACAGCACCTCCCGATCTTAATTACCCTTGGCCTAAAGGCGGTGACTACGCCGCCCAGAACAGTTAAGACACGTGTCGACTGGAGGCTCTACAACAAACACCTACAGGAGAGACCTCCAGCACACCACCCCTTAAACACAGCGGACGACGTAGAGGCCGCAGCTACTAATATAACAAAGGCAATACCCTCAACGCTGCCTCTACGATCGTCCCGATGTCAACAAGGAGAGACGATCTGCCGCGACACATTAGCGTGCAATCAGGAGAAAAAGGGCCTTAAGGAGACTCTGGGCGCGTAGTCGCTGCCCGAGAATCAAAACGCTACTCAACACCCTATTGGAGGAACTGTCAGTTGCAGTCCAGGCACACAGAGGAGATGCCTGGGAGTGGCGTATATGGAAAGCGGAAGAGCACGATGCGTCGCTCTACAAACTGAACCGACAGTTAACTAAAGCCAAACCTCCCGTTTGCTCGCTGACCAACAACGCGGGCGAACGTAGTTACGATGCCAAGGGTAGAGCGGATATCCTAGTAGAGCACTTCGAGGAGCAATTTATGCCGAACCCAGCAAGTGCGGAATTAATGGAGCTTCATGCCCAAAAGGAGAGTCGCGTACAGGAGTTCCTGTCATCGCCCGCGCCGCCTCTTGCAGGAGAGTGGTTCATCACCCCTGCTGAACTGCGGTAGACAGCAACCCGCCTGCAACCGAGGAAGGCGCCGGGGCACGATGGGATTACCAACGCTGCACTCCGACAGCTGCCCCATAGAGTCCTAGTAGAGCTTGGTCGGCTTTACAATGGGATATTGCGGACATCCCACTTCCCGGAGGACTGGAAGAAAGGCAAAGTGATCGTCTTGCCGAAACCCGGGAAGGACAGGCGTAGAGCTGCCAGCTACATGCCCATCACGCTGCTACCACACATAGCTAAACTGCTTGAAAGATTGTTGCTAAGACGCCTCCGTCCGTGCATCCAACTTCAAGCGGAGCAGCACGGATTCAGGAGGGGACACTCTACAGCAACACAGCTGACCAGAGTGCTGCACCTGCTTGCAGCCGAATACAACCGTGGCCGCACTACGTTGGGCGTCTTCCTCGATATCGAGAAGGCGTTCGACAGGGTGTGGCATTCTGGATTACTTTATAAACTTGAAGAACAGACCAGTGTCCCTCCTGCTATGTTGTGGCTAGTGGCGTCTTTCCTGGCAGACAGGAATTTCTACGTCTGCGTAGAGGGCGCCGAGTCCGCAACCAGAACCATCAGAGCCGGCGTTCCTCAGGGCAGCTGTTTGTCTCCAGTCCTGTACGCGGCTTATACCAACGATATCCCTACCCTGGCAGGAAGTCTGCAAGAGTGGGAGGATGACGTGGAATTGGCGTTATACGCGGACGATAGCGCTTATTTCACCTCGTCCAGAAGAGCCCACATTGCCACTGCCAGGATGCAACGTCTCCTGGACCTGCTGCCACCATGGCTAGATGAGTGGAGGATGGTCGTCAACGTTGGTAAGACGACCGCTCTGCTCACTCGCCGCCTCAGGAACCTACCACCTCAGCTAACCCTCAATG